CACTATCGCCGAACGCTTCTGCATCACACCGACGCACATCGCAACACCCTACAGTCACCTATCGCTCGATCCAACCGAAGAAACCAACCCACTGTCGCCTACTGAAATCCAGGAATATCAACAGAAACTGGGCTGCCTACTCTTTGCCGCCGTTACGTGCCGACCGGACTTATCCTACAGCGCCAGTCAACTAGCGACCTACCTCAAGCGCCCAGAACAACGTCACCTCAAGGAACTCAACCGTGCCCTTCTCTACTTCATCTCGACGCCAACAGTTGGCTTAACATATCACAAGAACACGACGACCGACCTAAAACTACTCGGCTACGTCGACGCTGATCATGCTGCTGATCGTGTCGATCGTCGCTCTCGCACCGGCTACATCTACCGTCTTGAGCCCGTCGGAACTATCTCCTGGCAATCAAGTAAGCAGGAACTCGTCGCACTATCATCTGCTGAAGCAGAGTATATTGCTCTCTGCACTGCTACCAAGGAGGGCCTGTACCTGCGCGAACTGCTGGAAGAAGCGAAAATTGCGAAAGTACCCAGCTTCTCGCTTTTCAGCGACAACCAGTCCGCGATACGGATCGCGAACAAGAATGGCTTCGCCAACAGAACCAAGCATATCGCACTGCGATACTTCTTCGTGAAAGACGAAATCGAGAAAGGAAAACTCCAGCTGGATTACTGCCCGACCACCGAGATGGCAGCAGATTATCTCACCAAGAAGCTACCAAAGGGGAAATTCGAGTACTGCATGCTGCTCACCGGATTGGACCACGTCACCGAAGCTGACCACGTCGACACTCCAGAAACGAAGGGGAGTGTTGGGAAAATAAACGCATGACTTAGTGCGTTTCTGTAGTATCGAACCTCACCCGATACTGAAGCACAACAAAAGGAGTACGAAGTCGAAAAGGCGCGTACCACATCAAACCGCAACTAGAGGTTGCGAGCTGTAACCGCCTGGAGGTTACGTAACAGCAAGCGACGCTTCAGTGAACAGTAACCACCTCGATAGTCAAAGCGCTACGCGTCTCGATAAACATAACCGTTCCTTGTAATCTATCTTTTCTATATATTCCTGTATGCCCTTTACTTTAATCAATTACTTGTTCTCACATACCAGCACAAGTACATTCACTCAAGACTTCCGCTGTGCTACTCTAGCACTTACTAGCCTATTCTCTGCAAAGATCCTAAGGCTGAAATTCTCAGCCCAACAGGAGAAATTCACACGATATTCTTCCGTATTGCAGCTACTCGTTAACGACTATAATAATGAATCCGTAAGAAAAGGAGGGGTGTTATAGAAAATCAGCCAAAAAGGGGGGTACCGTATAGTAGAAACGAGGTCTATCATAACACCCACCCCGCACAAGCTACCCCGGGATGTACAATTATGGGGGGGTGTTTTGTCCGGGAGTATACGGTACAGCAGAAGGCATGAACAGAAGGTCCCAAACACATCATCCAGGCACAATATTTGACACAAGCACAGATGTAAAGCTTAGGGAACGAGCTAACACCTTCACAGTCTTTGGCATTGAATCATATGCCTGGGCAAACGTGGGCTCCATATCCTCGTTATAAGCTGTCCTGTACATCTTGACTTGTACAGGAGCAGCTGAATTCTCTGCTGCGAAAGAATCAATGGCCAATGACACCGGGTAATCATCCCCGTCTTGATTGGCCACAAACACCGCCAGCTGGCACCGGGCAGCAGAGTAGAAGGCAGCCACGCAATGATGACACCCCTGCGCAGTGGTAACCTGTAACGGCTTGCTCCCCTTTGGCGCCCCTTGTACAAGCTGCTTCATTACAAAATACTTCTTCGAATAGACCACTGAGAAAGGTGGTAGCTCCGCGCTTTTAATCGGGGCCATAGGAATAATAAGAAAGGCCCATGTCCGAGTGTTCCCCACTGCTTGCCAGAAGATCCAAGCAGATGCTCCCATGATGTTCACTGATTGGATGACGGTTCTTGCCATGTGCACGGCAATATCAATGTCTGCTCCCCCCTTCATGAACAGAGGCCCAGCTTCGGTAACCCAAACCTCCTTCTGTAAGCTCTTTCCCACCTCCCGCATTTGTCCAAACATTTGCTCGACATAAACTCTGGGGCTGTAAATTCCTGTCGAGTTTCCCCTCGGGAATATATACCCATGTACACTAAGATGCCTCAACGGCTGTAGTGATTGCTGCTTCGCAGCACTCCAGAACCGCTTGTAACGAACCGTGGAGTCCACCAGACTGTCGAATCCTGCTACTCGGGTTACCAGGTTTCGCTTCTTGAGAGCTCGCACGACCAAGGGGATCAGTTTTTGTAATCCATTAGCGTCGAAATTACAACCCTCCTGTATTCCCCCTTGCTCCCACCATCCCTCCAGCGGCTCGTTAGTCGGACTAATCGCCACGAAAGTAACGTTCCACGCGTCTCTAAATTTCTGCACTATAGTAGCTAAATAGTCCGCGAATGCCTCGTAATATCTCGGCCGTATGTTGTTGGTGTTCGCGTGGCCGCCTGACACATCCCCGCTAAGAGTCATCCACCACGGCGGCGAATAAGCCACTGCTTCTACCGAATCAACTCCGCGCGCCAGCGCACCAATCAGCACGCGCCGCTGCCGCCAATCTGCCGACCAATCGTACGGTCCTGCCGCCTTTGGTTTATACCCGGGCATCGGCCGCGCGTCAAAGGGAGGTCCTAAGGACGTCATTTGAGGCGACCGTGCGGGATTGAAGCCCGCTCCAATTAGGTGCCTAACCATATTAAGACCGAGGCCGCGCGTGGGGTGGAATAGAAGGTCTAAGAGGGTGTTGAGATCGGCGGCGGGTAAGCGACCAATGTAATTCGCGAACCAGCCTAGCGACGTGCCCCAGCCTCGCCAGGTTTGCCCGATTGGCGTGCTTGTGATCGTTACGACTGCAGGCCCTGTTATGGGGGAAGTTGGGAGGTTAGAATTGGGAGCAGAATATGAGTTGTGAGTCGATTCAAAGCACTGCCAGTGACCGTTTCTACGCATGACCTGTGGTTGGGAGAGGGTGAAAAGGCGGGTCGGGAATCGAGTTGTAACGACAGTTGAAAACACTTGAGACAGCTCATGAGCCCATACGGTTGAATTCTCACCCTTGCGCACTCCGACCTTCCTCTTTCTTGCCATTCTTTGCCCTTTCAAAACGAAGCTGCAAAGATTGGAAGTCTGGGCTCCGTCCCTACAGTCTCCCTTTTTCACTCTGTTACAGCCACTCCCCCCGGCTATAGTCCCTTCACCCTGCTACAACTCGATCGCAACCTGCCACATTCCGCCTTCCCCCCCCTTGCTACACACCCCCTCCCGCCTTACCTGCGACGGCGCACACGCGGTAAATCTCCCCCTCCGGTTTCAAAGTGGGGGTCGGGGGACCATCAGACGGGGGGAGAGTAGGCGGCGGAAGCAGTGGGAGGCGCGGGAGGGGGGGATTGACGGACGGAGAAGGGGGTTTGGGAGGCGGAGGAGGAGAAAGGGGGGGTCTCAGGGGCGGGGAAGGAGGCGGAGAAAGCGGGGGTTGTGGCGGAGGGCGCGGGGGAGGCGGGGGGCGAGGGGGAGATGGCGGTGGAGGCGGTGGTTTGGGCGGAGGGCTGGGGGGAGGTCTGGGAGGGGGAGACGGCGGGGGAGGATTCGGGGGCGGAGAAGGAGGCGGAGAAGGCGGAGGGCGTGGGGGAGGACTGGGAGGGGGAGGGGGCCGGGGAGGAGGAGAAGGGGGACGAGGGGGAGGCGAAAAGGGGGGCGGGGCGGGGCCGGGTCGGCGAACGAAATCAGTGAATCCGGCGGAGAAGGCGACGAAGGACAGCAACAGCATCGCCGGAAAGAGCGCCGATTGGCTGCGGTACCCGCGCGTTACACGGCGATGCGCGCCGAGAGGGCCGACGACGACCGCGCATGGCGCAGGCATCTGCGCGCACGGTGTGATGGACGAGCGAGCGCATGTGACAAGGTGCACCTAGGAAGCCTGAATCTATAGCCGCATTCGCCGGATCAGCGTCAGGAGCTCCGTGGCATCAGCGTTACTCTCCGACAACTCACCACGCGCACACTGGCATCAAGTGGAACTCCCGTTGGTGGCTGCTAAGGTGAAGCGCGGCACTCTATGACAAAGCAACATCGACGCAGGCACTGCAAACTAGAAAATATTTTCTGAGCATTCTTCGTTGCGTAATAGGGGGAAAAGAGTTCCCAATCACTAGCGGGAAAGAAAGTCGTTCCTGACCGCCAGATCGAGCTGGACTGCTGAGCCTGAATTCTTTGAATGTGCGAAAATGCTTCAAGTGCGAAGTGTAGGACTTGCAGGAAACTATCGTGAGAAATCTCAGCGGGCCGTATGTGAGGAAGATTTGGTAAATCAAACGCGCTATTTATTCGGTTGCCTGCATCATGCATAGAGGTGGTTGGTACAGTGGCGCCGACGGTCCTGTCGAGGCGAAGAAGCAACCTGAGAGCACACTAGCTGTCATGCACCTTGTCCGTCTTTTGGATAATACCTCGGCAGTGGACAGCAGCTTTGTTTGAAGCATAACTGGGCGGAGGAGGGCTATGGATGGATGATGGGGAGAAATTCCATCGAGACCAGCAGCACACAAATACATGTCGAGTGAAATCCGCCGGATCGCGGATTTGGGATGGCTGCGCGATGCGATGGTGTCGGTTTCCCGAATTGCAGGGAAAAGCAGGGAGGGATGGACGTGCATGGAGGTACAGAACCTTAGCGCCAAATGCGGCGAATGTAGAATCCAGAGTCAACTACAGTTCAGCTCTTCCGCGTGTAGGAACTTCTCTAAAATCATCCAAGCCAGTTAATCTGAATTCATATACTTCATATTGCAAAAATGTTCGAAGGTTAGGCGCATTATCAGCTTTTCATCGTGTATATTCCCAATCTAGCTATGTTCAATTCAGAAGAAAATCAACCAGTAAGTAAAACAAATCCCGATGCACAGGGAGATCGGAGAGCCATGATGGTCAGGCATAATACATGTAGAGGGAGTTGGAGGCGGCACAGGCAATGAGGTTGGCCTTGGGATGCCATGCAAGGTGCAACAGCTTTGAAGAAAAGTCATGCTGCATGCCGTTGGGATCCATGGAATCCACCGCTTCTGCCATAACCACACGGGAGAAATCAGAAAGTTCAAGTGACCGTGGCCGGCCAATAGAAGGACTTGAGAAGGCCAGGTGCACAAGAAGGTATGAAGGGGTTGCACGGAATTTGGTGGAGAGCACAAGGCATTGGGAAGTGGCAAGAAGCATGAGGTGGTGCCTGAGTGTGTTATCCCCCACGCACCTCTTCTTGCATCCCTCCTGCCGCGTGCCCCTGCCCTGCCCCCTCCCTTGGCTGGTGTCTGCACCATGCGCCTGCTCATGCCACCATTTTGAATTCATTCCAACAACACCCCATGCCGCGACATGATTAAGAATGAACACCATGCCATACAATGTCAACCACCCCCAGACACGTCGTGCCCACATGCCCATGCAAGCACGATACGATCACCCATGCCAGCAGGATGTGACCACCCATCAATCACACATGCCATACGGCACGTCAGAATGGGTGAGGGGAATGAAGTGATCAACAATGAACATTATTCAAATCAGAGGCCAGAGACGCAAAGCTTGTATCAAACTGATTTTTTCTTTTTCTTTTTTGTGAAAGTTAGAATGGCCGGATAGCATAGGGAAAGGCGGGAGGGGAGCGGGGGTGTGGGGGGGGGAGTGGGGCGTGCAGGATAAAGGGGGGAAAGGAGGGGGGGAGAAGCGTGGTGGACAGAGTGGGAGAGAGGGAGGATGGGCGCACCTGTTTGGTGTTTTAGAGGACTCGAGCAGCGAGGCCTCGTCACTCCCTGGCACCACTCCAAACACCCGAAACAGATTGCTGCAAGCGAGGTGGGCAGGAGAGAGGGAGAGAGAGAGATGTGCACACGGTAAGGGTGCCAAAGCGGGTAAAACACAAAGAGCTTGACATGAGAGGTCCTGGTCGCATCGCATGTTAGCAGGTTGGTTCACATCACAAGATGTTTGATGCAGCACGCCAGTGCAGACAGACCAACAGACGCATTCCAGCAGACTTGCATGTACGAGCCTCAACTCACACCTGTACAGGGATGAGTCTCACCTGTAGGAGCCAGAGGCGCATCGCAACCCGTCCCCGCTGGGTGTGCACTCGAACTTGTCAAATATGCAGTCGTTCTCATACAGGTCGCACAGCTGGTGGGGTGAGAGGAGAAAGGTGGGGGGGGAGGGGGGGGGGGGGGGAGGGTGGGAAGGGGGCATGGAGGAGAGGAGGAAAGAGAGGAGGGGTAGTGAGAACATGCACTCGAACTTGTCAAATATGCAGTCGTTCTTGTACAGGTCACACAGCTGTTGGAGGTGGAGGTGGGGGAGTGGGGGGGGGTTGATGAAGGAAAGGAGAGGCGGATGGGGGAGACGGGGGGAAGGAAGTGGAAGGGGGTGGCGAGAAGGAATTAGAATGTGCACTCGAACTTGTCAAATATGCAGTCGTTCTCATACAAGTGGCACAGCTGGTGGGGTGAGAGAAAAAGACCAGGGAATGAGGGGAGTGGGGGAGGAGGACACAGGTGGAGAGCGGGGAGTGGAAAGTGGGAGGGTCAGGATATGCATTCGAACTTGTACACTATGCAGTCGTTCTCATACAGGTGGGGGTGAAGCAAGAGTGAGGGGGAAAGAGAAGGGGAGTCGGGGGTGAGGAGGCAGCTGAGTGTGCAGCTGAGCTGAGGAGATGGAAATGGGGAAATGGATTGAGGTGGGAATGCTGAACGGCAGTAGAACGGGCAGTATAGCCCTACAGAAACTATGAAGGCAGGACCCCCAGGGGAGGCGAGGGGGGGGGAGGGCAGTGAATGCGAAGTGGACAAAAAGGGAACGTAAAGTGTGAAGGCAGGGTGGATGGCATGGTAAGGAGAAGGGGACAGCAGAATGACTGAGGGATAGAAGGCAGGGTGGATGGCATGGTAAGGAGAAGGGGACAGCAGAATGACTGAGGGATGGTAAGGAGAAGGGGACAGCAGAATGACTGAGGGATAGAAGGCAGGGTGGATGGCATGGTAAGGAGAAGGGGACAGCAGAATGACTGAGGGATAGAAGGCAGGTGGTAAGGTGGGGTGGTCACCTTGGGTCGCAGGAACTCGTGCACTTTGAACGTTCCCAGCGGTTGCGCTTCCATGTGAATGTCCCACAGCTGCCACGCCCAGGGAGCGAATAAGGGGTGGGGGGTTGGGCGGGTGAGTGGAAGATGAAGGAATGGAAACAGGGAAGCACTTGAGGCGGCTCAAAGCACAAGGAACATCTGTCGGGATCCATGCTGATTCTTCTCCAACAAACAAGGACCATTTGAAAGTTGGAACCAAAGAACCAGTTCTGTGTGCCATTCTTCTTCTCGTCTGGTGGTTGACTACATGCCATGCCACACCGTACTCACCATACACATTGCTTTTCAAGCCGTACCTTGACGGTCATGTAGTCGCGGCTGAAGATGTAGCGGCCGTCGTTGGAGAACTTGACATCGCTGATGGATGCGATGATCTCCGAGAAGAATGACTGGCACTACTGCCTGCCTTTCTTCGTGGCGCACCAACTTCACCCATTACTGCCTTGACAAAGCACTGCTGGACAAGTGCACGCACCTTGACGGTCATGTAGTCGCGACTAAAGATGTAGCGGCCGTCATTGGAGAACTTGACATCGCTGATGGATGCGATGATTTCCGAGAAGAAAGAGCGGTTGCCGGGGGGTTCCTGCTCCTCGAAGCTGTTTGGAGCGCAAGCAACGAGAGGGAGGGGCGTGGATGGAAAGATGCGAGACAGGTGCGAGGTGGAGAACTTGACATCGCTGATGGATGCGACGATCTCCGAGAAGAAGGAGCGGTTGCCGGGGGCTCCTGCTCCTTGAAGCTGCGAGAGAGGGAGCGCCATGGATTAGCAAAGTGAGGATGACTCGAGAAACACAAGGAATCTGTCACGTGCTTTTAAGCTCCTACTCCTCCAACCGCAGTGCGAGACTGTCACAGACGGACATGCATGCCATCAAGCTCGCAGCTTGGTTGAAGTGTTGGTCGCAGAGGGCGGACTGGCGCATGTCATTTGGTGAGGCGGATGGTGGCAGCGCATGTCACTAGGTACATGGCACAGAGCACACCTTACCAGCAGTGTGCGCATTTCAAGCAACACTAACTCGCAACAACAAGGCTCACAGCTTGGAGTGTTGGTCGCAGAGGGCGGACTGGCGCATGTCAATGAGGCGGATGGTGCCCTTGGACGTGGAGTAGGCGAGCGAGTGGCAGTGCGATGGGTGGAACTCCGCACACGTTATCACCTCTGGTTGAGTTTGTGGGAGAATAAGGGGAGAAGGGGCGCATGGGGGAGTTGAGAGGGGTTGTAGGAGCAGGAAGAGCAAGCGGGTGGGGTGTGTCGCGGGGAGGGGGGAAGGGAGGGCAGAGGGGGGCGAGGAGCAGGGAGAGTGGGGGGTGGAGACGGGTGACAGGAGGGAGACAGGAGAGGGGAGTGGAACGGGGTTGGGGACACGGCCATTGAGGAAAAGGAGGGGCAGTGACATAGACTTGCGCCACTTGAGATGCATACAGTTTATGAGATCCCACTTGCACCACATCACACCACAACACCCACCTGTGAGGTCCACCCACCACGTTGCAGCTCTGCGCGTTGCAAAGCTGTGCATGCTCACGTTGCATCTATACTTGTAAGGATCTACCCGCACCAAACCCCCCACCTGTGAGGTCCTCCATGTTAGCGGGCTTGATGATATCCACCACGTTGCAGCTCTGCGTGCTGCAAAGCCATGCATGCACTCTCATACACTTGTACCTACAACGCACCACGCCAGCCATCACCCACCTGTGAGGTCCTCCATGTTAGCGGGTTTGATGTCCACCACATTGAAGCTCTGCGAGTTGTTCTCCAGGTTCCACAGGTTCACCCTCAGGTCGTCCGCTGATATGAACGTCTCCCGGTCGCTGCAGGGGGCAAAGAGAGAGGGCAGGGGAGAGAGGGAGGGAGCGGGGGGAAGGGACGGAGCGGACAAAAGGAGAACGGGAAGGGGAGGAGGGGTGAGAGGGGTTTGAGAGAAAGACGGGGGAGGGAGGGAAAAGGGATACGAAAGGGCAATGTTTTGAGAGGGGTTGTGAGGGGGAAGTGGGGAAAGGGAATGTGATGGAGGCTTGTCAACGGGCCTCTAGGCTCCACGGGTTAGCCTGTAGTCGCTGCGGTGGCGGCGAAAGGGGTGGGGGAAAACGAGTGGAGGGGTGTGGCCCGGCGGGTGGGTCGGTGGGTGGGTGAGTGAGTGGGTGGGTGAAACGGGTGGGCAGCGAAACGAGAAAAAGAGCAGCGCCTGCGAGGGGTAACAACTCACACAGCCCAGGCTACTGCAAGTAAGCAGTAATAGCAGCAGCAGCTGACTGAGTTGCTGCACGAACAGACAGGTAACCTGTTGCAGCAGCAGCGATGCACACACCTGTTGCAGATGGAATTTATGTGGTAGGCGTGCTTTGAGACAACGAAACCCAGACTATTGATATTCAGAGCGAAAAAATCCTCCTTCTAAGCCCGAAAAACCGCGCACCTGTTGCAGGAGATGGAGTTTATGTGGTAGGCGTGCGCGTTGGAGAAGACACGGCGGCACCGCGCCACCAGCGTGGTCTCGTTAGTTGACACCTGGTGGGGGAAAGGGGGAGAGAACGACGGTGGGGGAGAGAACGACGGGAGGGAAGACAGGGTGCGGGTAGGGGCACGGTGGGAGGAAGGAGTGAGCAGGATGGGAGGGAGGAGAGGGCAAGTTGGGAGGGAGGAGAGGGCAAGTTGGGAGGGAGGAGAGGGCAAGTTGGGAGGGAGGAGAGGGCAAGTTGGGAGGGAGGAGAGGGCAAGTTGGGAGGGAGGAGAGGGGAAGTTGGGAGGGAGGAGAGGGCAAGTTGGGAGGGAGGAGAGGGCAAGTTGGGAGGGAGGAGAGGGCAAGTTGGGAGGGAGGAGAGGGCAAGTTGGGAGGGAGGGCACGATGGGATGGAGGACGGGGTGGGGGGGTGGTTCGAGATGGGCTGGAGGGCAAGGTGGGGAGGAGGGGGAGAGCATGGTGGGGGGGAGGATACAATGGGAAGGAGAGCACGGTGGGGGGAAGAGAAAGGTGGGAGGAGAACAAGAATGTGATATGTGCGAAGAAGATAGGAGTGGAGCAATGAAGCCCAACTGACTTCAAACAGTGCTGACTGTAACGTGCTGGCTGCAACGACAACACACGCTCAGGACGCACGGCGCAGGGCATGCAGCACTCACCACAGCAGGGAGGCGCAGTTGAGGAAACCCTCCAGGAGGGAAATCCAGCTCCATGCCCTCGCCCACACCGTTCAGCACCGCTCCAGCGCCAGCAGCCACCGCTCTGGCCGTAGCCGACGCAGCAGACAGCGACCCAGGGCGCGGGAGGTACCGCGGGTTGATCTGTGGCCCGCCAGGCACTGACACAGGGGGCGTGGGGAGCGCATCTGCTGCTGCTGGGTCGGCTGGCGCGTTGGCGGAGGCGAGGTAGTCGGCGGCTGTGCGGGGCGGGCAGTTGAACTGCGAGACGGCCTTGACGCGGCGCTCCGTGACGCGCCAGAGCTTGATGGTCTTGTCATTGGTGGAGAGCACGTACAGCGCGCCCTGGGAGGAGTTCACCCACCGGATCTTGTTTATCTTCTCCTCTATCTCCAGCGATTTCAGGTAGTCGAACTGGCAGGGAGGGGAGGAGGGGAGAAGAGGGGAGGAGGAAAGGAGGGGGAGGGGAGGGACGAGGGGAGGGGGGGAGGGGAAGAGGGGAGGGGGTGGGGGAAGAGGGGAGGCGAGGGATGGAAGAAAAGCTGGGTGACGCGCCAGAGCTTGATGGTCTTGTCGTTGGTGGATAGCAGGTACAGAGCGCCCTGCGACGAGTTCACCCACCGGATCTTGTTGATCTTCTCCTCTATCTCCAGCGACTTGAGGTAGTCGAACTGGAGGGGAGGGAGAGACGGAAAGAGAGGGATAGTTCTTTTAGCGTTCTCAGAATGAGGACCTCCCTAGGGACGAGTTCACCCACTGGATCTTGTTGATCTTCTCCTCGATTTCCAGCGACTTGAGGTAGTCAAACAGGTGCGAAAGGGGGACGGAGAGAGAGGTGCAGAGGGAGCGATGGGAGAGAGAGAGAGGAAAGATGGGAGGGGTTGGAAGTGGAGAGGAGCGAGAGGGGTGAAGTGCGGTCAGGAGAAGTATAATGGCACGTTGGGGTGCCCGACTGGGGAGCGTTTACCTCCTCCTCTCTATCTCTAGCAGCTTGAGCTAAGGTGGACCTATCACCAGCGCACAGCATTGCAAGCTTCACGCGTGTAACTAGTGGCTCGAAAACTCAGGGGCGCTCGTGATGATCGGCTGATAAAAGTGTTCATCCAGCATTTCGTGCCACATAGTTGGCTGTTCCATGCCTATAGATCCCCTTCCTGATCCTTTTCCAGGCCCCATCCTGCATACAGCAGCCGTACCTCGGGCTTGTTGCTCTGCAAGTCCGAGCATCAGCATCAGCGGTACTCGATCTGCTGGCGCGCTGCATACCAACCCGCCAAAGACGCGACTTACACCCTCACCCCCTGCATCCGTGCCCGTTCCCCCGTCCCACTCCCGCACATCCCGCCCTAGCGATAGCTCCGGCTCGCAGCTCTGCATCTGAGTGGATTGGCTTTTCTCAATCTGCAGGTTAGGCTACCACCCTAGCAGCTACCAAGCGCGTCCCATTCCATCCAACTCTCCGCACCCACCTCCCTGCTCCCCTACTGCACACGGCTGCCGTGCCTCCCACTCCCGCATATGGCGCCAAGCCGTACCTCAGTCTCGTGGCTCTGGAACTCGGTGGAGTAGCGGTTGTCGATCTGCTGGGTAGGCTACCCGTCCAACAGCTTGACCAGCAGATGCAGGCTACCAAAAGAGAGCGATTCACACAAGCACCCTCCCTCCCTATCTGTGCACATTCCCCTGTCCTCCCATACAGAAGCCACGCACCTCGGGCTCGTGGCTCTGGAACTCGGTGGAGTAGCGGTAGTCGATCTGCTGGTGCGCAGCGGGGGGGTAGTCGCTCGCTTCCATCTCCCGCCGACCCCGCGCCTGATGGCACCCATGGGACGCGCGCATGGGAAGGGATGGGATACGGTGGGAAGGCGTGAGCAGTCGTGAAAGGGAGTGAACAAGAGTGAGTAGGAGTGAGTAGAGGTGAGCAAGGGAAGAGTGGATACGACGACTAATAAGGCGTCTTCATTGCGTCTCATTGCGTCTCCGCGTGCATTAATCCCTTTTTTTATTCTTATTTCTTTCATGACAAGCGGAAATATCAATGGGTGAGGACGCAGCATACAGACGAAAGCGCTGAAAAGCAGCGGGTGTGTTCTGGTTTAAAGTGGATAGTAAGGTCGACGCTATTACTGATCATTTAGGATCATGCTGAATAAATCCATGCAGGTCAATGTGGACTCAAGCCACGCCGCTTAAAGCTTGACGTCGTGCAGAGACGCAGCATACAGACGACACATCATGCAAATAGTACCGACGTCATGCCATTCCGGAAATAATGCGGGCTTCGAAAATAGGGACTCACGTCGCGCAGGTCAATGCGGTCAAACAGCACCACTCGCCCGCCTCTGTCGCCCGTCGCCAGGTGCTCGCCGCTACGATCGAACTCAATCGCCGATATAATGTCCACTGCACCGAACCACAGAACCGCACGGAACCGCACACCACGACAGATAAATGAGTTTAGTGCACGGAAAGTTTTCGAAAGACCTGCCCTTCATCACAATGTCAGCAATCTTGTTAAGATCAGGAAGACTATCGACTAGGGATGAGAGAGTGTGTAATCGAAATAGCGGCTTCAGGCCGTTAGTGAAAATAGACTGGTCGACTAGCGTTGACATGAACACTTCAAAAACTAGGAAATTATGGTTTGCACTGTATGAAGTTTGCATTTGACATTCAGTCTTGCGATCGCTGCGAATGCCATCGTTGTCAGAACCGCACATTCCGCCATCTAATGTCTACATCGGACGATTTTCCACGCGCCTTGAAAATCAGCCGTTTCTACGATTGTTACAGTTGTCAGCACTGCGCATTCCGCTGCTAATGCGTAAATCAACCCATTAAGTGTCGCCAACGGTGGGAAGGACGTAACGTGCCATTAACGCTATAGCGCTCCAAGCTCGAAGTCAGCCGAGCAATGCGACTAACGGTTTGCTATTCCATGGCATTCTGGCTTCGCGACATGAGAGCAGCGACCCCGATTCGTAAAACAAAATACACGGATAATATCGCCAGAATATGTGCTAAGGACGTATTTCAACGAGCTTCTCTGCACCGTTAACTGCGTATCCTATAAACCAAATCTGTAAGGTCTAGTAAGTCCTCCAACTCACCATCCTGAACTTCCTCTCCAGCAGCCCGTTCGCCGAAAACCTGACCGAATTTCCATTCAAGCGGAGGAGGCGCTGGTGATGCGGCCGCCTCTCCGGCAACCTCCGCTTCGCCGGTCGACATCGCTAACCCTAATAGACGCGAAAAGATCCCTTTTTGACGCTTCAACGTGGATACTGAGAATCGAGTTTCGGGATACTAGAAAAGGTCGCTAACCCTAAGGCCAGCGAACGCATCAAACTCGGAAATATCGTAGCGCCAACCCCGTAAACCCGCGCATTGTAGCGGAAGTCGCGGGTATGGAGCACGCGACTACAAGAAAGAACGCTCTTAGAAAATTAGCGTCAGAAACAGGCGCTTCTTATGAACGCCTGCCAGCTCAGACCCTAGATAAGGGGCGTACGGTTCCAGACCCTAGATTTTATCAGGCAGGTAAGTGGTGGGGTGGGTAGTGCAGAGGGAGAGAGTGGGATAGAAGAAGATAGGAATGGCGAAAGTGGCGCACAAAATAACTTGGCGAAAGAATATACTGTGCTTCACACGAGTTTCGCGAAATCGCAGAACAGCAAGGTGCTTTCGCGAAATACAGCAGCTTTGTTTGCGACAACGACGACCGCTCGATCGAGGGGAAATCGAGAGTTCAGGGCAGCGAGGCTGTGATGGCATAGTGGCTCCATGCCTATCCCCCCACTAGTATCCCCACGCCGGTCTGCCCGGGCGCAATAAATATGCGCCCACGTAGACCGAGAAGATCCAGTCAGGATCACAGGCGCGAAGGGCCGACGATAACCGCCTCATAAAGGCAGGGAAACGGAAATTCGTATTTGTTGGGCTTGACTGTTGGCAAACAGTGAATTGAATGAGCAAACAGGGTGTATATATTCATATCACTAGTTCAAGCCAACCAAGCAGCTCTATTTCAATGAGATTTAACATGTGCCAGTTCCTTTATCTGCTTCGCAATACCTAACCTCTGCCTCATTCCCATCCTTGATCCCCTCATTCTGATCCTTCATCCCCTCATTCTCATCCTTTATCCCCCCATTACTATCCTTCATCCCGTTATTTCCACCCTACTTGACTGGCCTTCTATCCACCAGTTCCATCCTTCGTTTCCTCATATTTATCCTTCATTCCCCCAATTCCATCCTTCATTCCCCCCATTGCCATCCTCCGTTTCTCCATTTCCATAAGTCGTCCGCCCATTTCCACCTGTCATCCCCTCATTCCCATCCTTCAGCAGCATTCCCCCATTTCCGTCCTTCGCCTCCCCGCTACCACCATCCTTCAGCACCCCTTCACCATCTCCCATCCCCACACGCTCCACCACTTCACCACCACCATCCACCACCTCATGCCGAGTGCTGCCCTTCCCTACATTCATTGCTGCATCGGCTCTTCTCTCCTCACCAGCCCCACACCCCTCATCACTGGTCAACACACTGTGGTGTTTCTGCACCCGAGACCCACAATCCTCCACCCCCGTATGCTCCACGCCACCACCACCACCCCCCACCTCATGTGGAGTGCTGCCCGTCACTACTTCCACTGCTGCATTGTCCCTCTTCTCTTTACCCGCCCCACTCCCCTCTTCATTGGTCAGCATACTCTGGTGTTTCTGCACACTAGAACCACCCCCATCCATCCCTCTTCCCTCCCCTTCAGTCACCCCTCCTTTCCCCTCCCCTCCTCCTCCCATTTCTCTTGTTCCACCTCCAGCTTCCTCCCTCCCTGCTTCTATCCGCTCCACTCCGCTCCTCCCCACTCGCACCTGCATCAGCTGCACCCCTCCATCCCCATCACCCCCCCACCCCCCCTCCCCATCACTCTCACCCTCCCCGCCCGTTCCTCCTTCCCCCATCTCCCCCTCCACCTCCTCCCCACCCTCCTCTTCTTCTCCCCCGTCCTCCTGCCCCTCCCCTTCCTCCTCCATCACAGGTCCCAAATCAGGAGCCTCCCACCCGCCTCTCCCCACCTCCTCCACATCAACCGGCCTCCTCCCGCCCCTCACGAACCTGCCTTCCCGAGCCTTGATCGACATGGCTCGGGGGCTAGCAGCGGCCGTAGCTATCGCAGCCCACTCCGGCTTGACGCTGTCTGAGAGCTTCTGTAGGAGGTGCTGCTGGTAGTCTGCTGAGTAGAAACGGGAGACTTCAAAGGGGAAGAGAGAGTTGATAGATGACACGTGGTCCTCCACTAGGTCCCAATCCACGCCGCCCTCTATGCAACGCACTGAGGCAGGATCAAATCGGGTCACCTTTGCCGCCCGGTCTCCTGGGCTCTCTGCATTAGCACTGTCAGCAGCAGCGGCGGCGGTAGCTGCGTTTGCAGCGGCGTCGGCAGCAGCAGCGGCTCTTTTTGCCTCTGCCAGCTGTAGCAGGCGCTGCAGACGAGTGAAGCCGTTCGACGCGAGGAAGGCTGGGCGGCAGGCATTGTCTTTAGCGAGCACTACAGACATGCGATGCAGGACAGACTCCAGTATGCCGTCCGGCAGCTTAGTCCACTGTATGGGAGCAGCGGAGGAGGGGAGGGGGGAAAGGGGAGGGGAGGAGAAAAGGGGAAGGGAGAAGAGGAAGGACACGGGGCAGAGAATGGAATGTGGGGAGGGGACACTTGGAAGTAGTGGGAAGCGTGAGGTGAATGGTAAGTGGATGCAACATTGGAGGATGAAAGCATGTGGAGAAGGACAGAGAAGGTGTGTGCTTGCAATATAGCAATGTACCTGCAGCAGTGCATCAGGAGCTTGGGGTGATTTTCGAGTCATCAAAAAAATCATCACCTCTTGCAATGAGCTGAAGCAGCTGCGATGTACCTGCAGCAGCGCATCAAGCGCTTCGATGTCATTCACCCGGACCACCACATCCTTCACTGCCTGCACCAAGCGCTTCCGAGCCTCCGCACCATCCACCATAGCAGCAGCGGCAGGCCCGGCAACAGGTTCGGGAGCAGGGAGGTGAACGGTGGCTGCTGTTACCATGTCGATCAACACCCCACTGTCTGCCACGGCCTTGGCGTGGCTGGGACTGACATGTGTGAAGGAGACAGAGAATATGGGTAGGGAGTGAAAGGGAAGAGAAAGAACAATGTCATTAACCTGTGGATGCTGTTACTATGGCAGCCCGCACTCCACTGCCTGCCACGGGATTGGCATGGTTGGGACTGGCACGTGTGAAGGAGACAGAGAATATGGGTAGGGAGTGAAAGGGAAGAGAAAGAACAATGTCATTAACCTGTGGATGCTGTTACTATGGCAGCCCGCACTCCACTGCCTGCCACGGGATTGGCATGGTTGGGACTGGCACGTGTGAAGGAGACAGAGAATATGGGTAGGGAGTGAAAGGGAAGAGGAAGAACAATGTCATTAACCTGTGGATGCTGTTACTATGGCAGCCCGCACTCCACTGCCTGCCACGGGATTGGCATGGTTGGGACTGGCACGTGTGAAGGAGACAGAGAATATGGGTAGGGAGTGAAAGGGAAGAGAAAGAACAATGTCATTAACCTGTGGATGCTGTTACTATGGCAGCCCGCACTCCACTGCCTGCCACGGGATTGGCATGGTTGGGACTGGCACGTGTGAAGGAGACAGAGAATATGGGTAGGGAGTGAAAGGGAAGAGAAAGAACAATGTCATTAACCTGTGGATGCTGTTACTATGGCAGCCCGCACTCCACTGCCTGCCACGGGATTGGCATGGTTGGGACTGGCACGTGTGAAGGAGACAGAGAATATGGGTAGGGAGTGAAAGGGAAGAGAAAGAACAATGTCATTAACCTGTGGATGCTGTTACTATGGCAGCCCGCACTCCACTGCCTGCCACGGGATTGGCATGGTTGGGACTGGCACGTGTGAAGGAGACAGAGAATATGGGTAGGGAGTGAAAGGGAAGAGAAAGAACAATGTCATTAACCTGTGGATGCTGTTACTATGGCAGCCCGCACTCCACTGCCTGCCACGGGATTGGCATGGTTGGGACTGGCACGTGTGAAGGAGACAGAGAATATGGGTAGGGAGTGAAAGGGAAGAGAAAGAACAATGTCATTAACCTGTGGATGCTGTTACTATGGCAGCCCGCACTCCACTGCCTGCCACGGGATTGGCATGGTTGGGACTGGCACGTGTGAAGGAGACAGAGAATATGGGTAGGGAGTGAAAGGGAAGAGAAAGAACAATGTCATTAACCTGTGGATGCTGTTACTATGGCAGCCCGCACTCCACTGCCTGCCACGGGATTGGCATGGTTGGGACTGGCACGTGTGAAGGAGACAGAGAATATGGGTAGGGAGTGAAAGGGAAGAGAAAGAACAATGTCATTAACCTGTGGATGCTGTTACTATGGCAGCCCGCACTCCACTGCCTGCCACGGGATTGGCATGGTTGGGACTGGCACGTGTGAAGGAGACAGAGAATATGGGTAGGGAGTGAAAGGGAAGAGAAAGAACAATGTCATTAACCTGTGGATGCTGTTACTATGGCAGCCCGCACTCCACTGCCTGCCACGGGATTGGCATGGTTGGGACTGGCACGTGTGAAGGAGACAGAGAATATGGGTAGGGAGTGAAAGGGAAGAGAAAGAACAATGTCATTAACCTGTGGATGCTGTTACTATGGCAGCCCGCACTCCACTGCCTGCCACGGGATTGGCATGGTTGGGACTGGCACGTGTGAAGGAGACAGAGAATATGGGTAGGGAGTGAAAGGGAAGAGAAAGAACAATGTCATTAACCTGTGGATGCTGTTACTATGGCAGCCCGCACTCCACTGCCTGCCACGGGATTGGCATGGCTGGGACTGGCATGTGCCAAGGGAACAGAGCAGAAAGGTAGAAAGTGCAAGAGAAGAAAGGATCACGAAAGCACATTGTTGGATGCTATGACCACGTGTTACATAAATCTGCCAGTAACATACCCCTATCCAACATGAACCGAACCTTACCCCTCCCTATGCATCCTCACCCATCCTCACCATCCTCACATCCCCACTCGTCCTCACCCACGCTCACCCATGGGAAGCCATCTGGGAGAGCGCCCACGCGCAGGCCCCTTTGAGGGTGACGTCAGCGTCGCCCTCCACTATGAGATCCTGCAGCGGGGATATGCCGTCCGATGCCACCACTGCCAGCGCTGCATCGGGGGAGGAAGCTGCGAGGAAGCCGAGGGCCACCACCACTGGGAGATGGAGGGGAATGGTATGGTGGTGGGTGGGGAATGAGGAGGGGTATGTGAGTGTGTGTGTGGCTGGAAATTGGATTGTGCGAGTGAGTGCCTTCTGTGAGAAAGTGCATGGAGGGTCTAAAGGCAATGCGTGACAAAGGAAGAAAGCAACATGACGGTCGGTCGCAGCATTGCACAAACAGGACATAAAGGAGATGGAACAGGACAACCACAAACAGATCGAAAAGAGGCCACAAAAAGGGATTAAAAAAAAACATCAGTTACCGACCTGAAACTTTACCAGAGCCTCTCGTCATCCCCTTCCCCTCCCCTGCTCCCTCCCCTTCCCCTGCATCCCTCCACGTGCCCACAGCATCCAGCAGCAGCCCGATGCCCCCCATGCCCACCAGCCTGCCTGCTGCTGCCCTTTCCTCTCCGTCGCTGCTGCTGATGCCCCTAAGGAGAGTGCAAAGAGATTCCAGAGAGAACACAAGGGAAGCGCAAGCCTTTGGCCTGAAGTCACTGACCTGAAACCTTGGCGGAGCCTTTGGTCATGCCCTCCCCCTCCCCTTCGTCCCTCCACGTGCCTACAGCATCCAGCAGCGGCCCAATGCCCCCCATGCCCACCAGCCGGCCTGCTGCTGCCGGTCCCTGCCTCGCCACCTCCCTCACCGCCGCTGCTGCTGACGCCCGCAGGGAAGGGGATGAGTCGTGCAGGCAGAGCAGCAGGCGAGATGCTCCTGGTTGGTCCAACACTTGCTGCGGGGTATTTTAAGGACAGAGGGGAAAGTGGACAGGAGGAACGGGAGAGGGGGATGGGAAGAGGGGGGGAGGGGAAAGAGGGATTGGGGGAGACGGGTGGGTAGAGAAGGGTTGGAATGAGTAAGGGGAACGAGTCGTGCCGGAAGACAGGAGGCTATGCTGTACCAAGGTTAACGGCTTAGAGCGGTTCAGAACGTTCTGGAAGTTTCAGAACGGCTTGCGAAGTTAGGAGCAGTGCTTACCAGGGCGAGGGACTGAGAGCAGTTCAGGGCGGTTCAGAACGGTTTGGAAGTTAGGAGCAGTGCTTACCAGGGCGAGGGATTCAGAGTGCCTGGCGATGGTAGAAAGGCAGACGCAGACCTGTAAGAAGTGCAGAGGGGTGCAGATGGGTGGGAGACAGGGGAAGCAGAAAGGGGCACAAGGGTGCAGAGCGGTTAAAAAAGCTGCAGAAGGGTGCGTGGAGATGCAAAAGTTAAGCGTTTGTGTAGAAGAGGACAGGAGCAAACGTCGCGCACAGAGAGAAGTGAAGGGCACGTGCAGGGTTAGGAGGAAGGAAGGTGCAAGCGTGGTGGTGCAGAGCAGAAGGAGCCGTGATCACAGAGGGGTTCAGGGAGTGGGCAATGGGATACATGGGACGAGGTTCGAGTCGTTCAAAACAACAGGCATATGAGAACAGCACCTGACGCCTTGTCTTGACGTCAGGTGATCCCAACAGAGAGACGGCGGCGGTAATGCCGCCCGCATCGGCCACGGCTGTAGCATGCAGCAGCGAGTGGCGTGCCACGTCAGTCAGCACTGAGAGGGCTATCCGCGCTACAGCCTCGTCCTGACATGAGGTATAAGGATATGAGACATGGGGAGATGGGATATGGGAGATGAGAGGTATAGGAACACGGGATATGGGGACAATATATTAGAGGACATGAGATGAAAGGGCAAAGGGCAGAAAGCTGGACGTGTGGAGAGGTAATGAGAGCATGAGAAAGGCAATGTCTGGCACAAGCATGAGCCTTTTGAAAGAGCAGGTCATTCATGAACGAGGGCATGAGTTACTGCTGACCAGGTCCCAATGCTGTTGTGAACCCCACCTGAAGGCATGTCACCAGCAACCGCACTGCACCCGTCTCAACCACTCTCATCGCCAGGTCACCGCTGTGCTTCGCCACGTGGCCCAATGCGCACGCAGCAGTCTCCCGCACCGCCAGCATGGCATCCAGAAGGCACTCCGTCAGCAACGGCAGCACGCCCGCCTCTGCCAGCTCAGCGCCAGCGTGGCGCGACACGGCCTTGACTAGATATGCTGCTGCGCGCTTGTGGTGGCGATTGGTGCCGCTGGGGGTAGAGGGAGAAGAGAGGGGAAGACAAGAGGTGGAGGGAGAGGAGAGGGGAAGACGAGAGGTGGAGGGAGAGGAGAGGGGAAGTCGCGGGGTTGGAGGGAGAGAAAGATGAACGAAACGACGAGAGTGCTTCGCATGAAGAAGCCAGCATGTTGCGACGCACTCGTGCGTGGCACATGGCAGGAGAACCGCAGGAAATGAAACATTCAAGGCACCGTGACGTGGTGTGACGTGACGAAACGATTGACAAAGCTGGAGGACTGACGTGAGAGGCTTGCAGAGAGATCAACTGGCCGGGCGAATCCCCGAATTCTAAAAACACATTCAAATAGATTCAGTAAGAGGAGGACTGACGTGAGCGCTTTGCAGAGCGACGGCAGCACGTTGTGCTGCACGAGGTGGTGCGACCACGTATGCGACACATTCGCAAGGCGACCCAGCGACAGCGTCGCAGCGGATCGCACGGACGCCATGCTGTCCTGCGCGAGCGGCAGCAACAGCTGCAGCGCGCCAAGCGACAGCAGCGCCTCCGCGTTCTGCCGGGGAAGAAACGCGGGCGGACAGCGCATTCGAAGTCAATAGAGCTGGCGACACGCAAAGAATGAACCTCACCCAGCAGCACCATGAATTCGCCATGAATTCGACACGAATTTGCCATGAAATCGCCATGAATTCGCCTGAAATTCGCCATGAATACGCCATGAATTCGCAGATCGAAGCTCGGATGCTGAGAGACACTGAGATTAAGGTGCACCTGAGGCGAAACCGCGAGTTCGCCAACTTTCATGACGAACTGCACGCGCGCGTCGCGGTACGCTTCCATTACCGCCACCACGGCTCGAGCCGCTTTGCACTGCGTGGGTGCTGGCAGCACCGCAGCCGCTGCCATAGCTAAACGCGACAGGTACGTTATTTTACGATAATGGTTACACGATATTCCAAAGAAACCAGTAACTTCTGCGGAAGAACAAAACGCGGAAGTGCCGATGCGGGAGAAGCGTAACCATCGACGAGCGATTCGGCAAGCGCCTTTGAGTGGCCGTGAATCGTAAGAGAAATTCTGTCGTGTTACGTAATTCAGGAGTTCGTTGACTCCTTGACTGATTCCTTCACTTGTTTTCTATGAACACAATTTCCTCTTTCTTAGTATGGACACTCTCCATGTCCTTGCTGCTGACTGCCCTGATATTTTCTTCACACAATGCATGTCAGCATTCCATGATCACTATTTCCCCTGATATTTTCTTAAGCGTGGTGCAACTGCTTGCTTTCTGTTCGATATTCCGCGTTCCAGCACGGTATTGTAAGCTTTTGAGCGGTTCTGTCAGTTCACCGCTTCAAACCGTTTCTCACCTCTCCAACGTTCCGTTCAGAACTTGACGCGGAATGTCTCAACGAAACCAAGCGGGAAATCCGAATGACTTGACGAGAAATCCGCAGGCGAACATGTACTTAGGTTTACCTGCTAGAGTCCAAAACGCGCCCGAAGCCCTGCGCACCACGCATCCCACGTGCTATATTGGGCTGTTTCGCAGAACGAACTCCAGGTGACAGCTGGACCCGAGGGCCCTTCCTCGTGCGGCGGTGGCTCGTAGGCGCGTGGCGATGTCACGATGACTCGCCACCAGTCCATGGCGGGGCCCCTGAGTAGTGAAACTGCATACCGAATCTTGGCGGCGTCCGACTCGACGTAGTTGGCGTCGAAAAACACGTTCATCGTGAAGACCCACGATTGAACTGTCGGGCCACCGCGTTGGCTTGGGTCGAAGCAGGGCGGGCGTTGCGGCTTGAGTGGCATTGGGGCCATCGTGGCGTTCCCTCCACTTGTCATCGCAAACTCCACGTGCCGACGGGCTTCTCGGGGCTCCCGTGGGCTTGATGCATTCCTGTTCCCTCCCATGCCGGGCATCGGTTGGGCTGCGCCGTCACTGGCTGCGCCTGAGCGCTGTCCCGTGCTGTTGTTTTGCGTTGGTGTGCCGGATGAGATAACAATCGGCTCCTCCGAATGGACAGAAACATTGGTTGGCGCTTGGGAAGTTGTCGGAGCGTTCACCGTTGACTGTTGACGGGCGGAGTCACGTTCCGCCGTGAGCGTCGCGATTTCGAGCGCTGATTCCTCCAGCTGTCGCACGAGACGATCGAGTTGCTCCTGCGTCAACGTGGCGATAGTGAAATCAGCCATGGCAGGGGTGTCGGGCAAGCTCAGCGAGAGCCTCAGTCGTGGCCGTGCGTGCTTCCGAGAGAGCACTACGAGCGGCGGTGCTGTATCGCTGAGAGACGTCTACCCCCCCCAAAAATTGAGATAGTGGGAAGCGAAGGTGTGGATGCGGTCCGAGATGAGATCGTAGGCTCTGAATACCAAGTGTTACGAGTGCAATTGAGTGAACGAACGAGAATTGCACTATCGAAGCAGGAGTACAAATGAGCGAAGGCATGAGCGAAGGATTATATAGCGAAGCAATAGTGGTAACGGTAATGGACTGTGGTTGTCGCGCGACGAGCCTGGGACTGAGGTTGGGAAAGTGTCGAAGCGTAGGCCCGGAGCGCGGGTTACCAGCCGAGCCGTGAGGTCGGGATGCGATGTGCGAAAAGGGCGGGATGATGAATGATGCGATGGTCGCGAGTGGTAACGGTGCTGACTGAGGTGCTACAGTGATGTACGCGTTGAGCAGGGACGCGAAGTAAGGAAAAGGGAATTTCCTTACAGTATCACATTCAGTTCATTCTGTGCATCGAGTAAACACGGAGACTGAAAAGAAATATTTATACACCCTCTTTCTCGCCATTGTGAATTCGGTTATAGTGAAGTCAAGATGGGAAAAGCACGGTTAACGGTGGTTAGATTAAGTCTAGGTATGGTTCAATCAGACAAATCGAAGGTAACTAGGTTTTCCATCAGTTCAGCACAGTTCAGTGTAGTGAGAAACAGGGTGTAAAAGTGAAACACTTCACTTCGTTGCTTTGAACCGCCACCTACCACACACCGACTGTTGAGCTCCTGAAGGAACGGGAAACAGTGTAAAGACAGAACAATTGCGTGGAGAATACAGCATGGCGGATGTGGCGGATACGGTACAGTATGGCACCCTGCTTATGGCAGCGTGTCACTATTCAACTTACACTGAAGGGTCGCTCGTTTGTCATTAGCCAAAGTGCATACACCTGATGCTCACCCCATGCGCGCGAATTTGCCTTGCGCCGGATGGATACGCTGCACCCGAGGTTGTTTCCCCAGCTTCATGCACCTACATTACAAGCGCGTCAAGCAGAAGAGACCGAAATCAAGCAGAAGAGACTGAAGTCAAACTAGGTAACTAGGTAGCAGGGTCTTGTTTATAAGCACATGCTAATTCTTTTTAGCTAGGTGCGAATTGACGAACTTAAGCGAACTGCCTCGTTACAGCTTATACGCCCCCTTCACAAGGCAACCGGGAGGGGCTCAAACAGGCATCATGTGTATTCAATGCTGATGTGGGGTGACCCCACTGGGGACGATCGATTTCATTGGCGCAGTAGATTTCTTTGCTCCTGCCAGCGTGTTACTGCTGGATTCTGGCGCGGAATTGAGCGGTGATTTTCGGTCGCTCAGTTGTCGTCAGCACAGTCCCAAGGCAACTTCTTATCTCCTGCCCACTTGGGATGGTTCCTTTGGCATCGCTGTGCTGGAGAGATTCGCATCCATTACAGCTACATCCGGGCACGCTGCTCCAGGGCCTCGTGTAGCACGCTGCTCCTGGCAGTCCATCCGGGCCCTGGTGGGTCGAATCCCACCAGAGCCCCCTCCTGGTGGAAACGGGTTCCCACCAGGGCCGCACGCGGATGCAAGGGCTGTCGCGGCCCCCAGCTGGGAATCGCCACGCGAGAGGGAGTCCCCCGCCCCCTCCCAGGTCCCTAGTGAGATCCGGGCCACCAGCGTGGTCCCAACCCCGGCCCTCCCCAGGCCCAGCCCTGGCTCGCGAAACCCATCGCTCTCCAATCCGAAGGCGAGGGCCGAACCCCAGCGCGCCGAGACGGACCCGGCCAATCGGAGCCGTTTCCGAGTGGTCTGTCCCTCGGAGAACCCTCGCGAAGCATTTCGCATGCAAATCCGCGCGTGCGAATGGCAATTCGGGCTGGCCGAAACGGATTCGGCCAATGGGAGCCGGTTTCGGAGCGACAGGCGAAGCCATCTCTGTGCTACCCGAAATGGAGCCGGCCAATCGCCGTCGCTTACGAGCGTCGGAATGCTCCCAAGACCCTCGCGAACAATCGTTCGAGGAAAGCATGCTGAGATTAAATTTACAGAGCGGAGTGTACGCCATTCGAAAGATCAAACGAAATAACATCTCTAGTGCATCGGTGTCACGAGTGCAATTGAGTGAACGAACGAGAATTGCACTATCGAAGCAAGAATACAATGAGCGAAGGCATGAGCGAAGACTATATAGCGAAACTACAGTGGTAACGGTAATGGACTGTGGTTGTCGCGCGACGAGCCTGGGACTGAGGTTGGGAAAGTGTCGAAGCGGAGGCCCGGAGCGCGGGTTACCAGCCGAGCCGTGAGGTCGGGGTGCGATGTGCGAAAATGGCAAGGTGATTGTCGATGCGAGGATCGCGAGTGGTAACGGTGCTGACTGAGGTGCTACGGTGATGTACGCGTTGAGCAGGGATGCGAAGTAAGGAAAAGTGATTTTCCTTACACTACCCCCCCTCCTAAGGAGGTCCTCCTTACGACAGTGCGTGGACGTCCCTGAAGTTTCGGCTGCGTAGATACTCGGTGAGAACTGGGTGGTTTTCGATTCTATCCAGGGGAACCCAGTTGTCCTCGGTGGGTGTACGGTCTTTCCAGCGGATCAGGAACTCGATCTTTCGGGCTCCTCGAAGGTCGCGAACTCTGTGGCTCAGGATTTTGTCGGGGGTGATGATTGGCTCGGTTGGCGGTCGTGCCATGCTGGCTGGTCGATTTCGTGGTTTGCTGGTGGTTGGTACGTAGGGGCGAAGCAGGCTGACGTGGAACGAGGGGCTGACGTACCAGCCAGCAGGGAGGAGGAGGTGCGTGGTGACAGGTGTTATCATATGGCTAATTCGAAATGGCCCACAGTATCGAGGGCGGAGTTTGGGAGAGATGGGCAGGCGGAGGTTTTGAGTGTCGAGTAAAACGAGGTCGTCGGGTTGGTAAGTGACAGGCCTGCGGTGGCGGTCAGTGTTGCGTTTAGCGATGATATTTGATTTTTTTATTGCTTCTGCTGCTCTGGTCCGTGCTGCTTGCAAAATCTCGGCGAACTGTTGTGCGCGTGGAACGGGGTTGTCGGGATTTGGGGTCATAGGTACTGTTGGGTCTTGTCCGTGATTCAGGTAAAAAGGTGACTGTTGGGTCGTGGCGGATGGGGCGTTGTTGTATGCGAATTCGATGAGTGGCAGCTGCTGTTCCCACGTGTTTGGGTCGTCGCACGTGGCCCTAATGAGCTGTTCCATGGTCTGGTTTGTCCGTTCGGTCTGTCCGTCGGTTTCGGGGTGATACGATGAACTGAACTGTAATCGCGTGCCGAACTGCTGCCACAGGTTCCTCCAGAAGTTACTGGTAAACTTC